GATCGCTTAAGCCCAAGAGTTTGAAGTTACTGTAAGCTGTGACACCATAGAACTCTACTGGGGGTGACGAAATGAGACTCTATCTCAAAAAAAAAGCCACCCACACCCTGCATCCTCAGGCTCAGACTTTCTGCCTCCCTTCCAGCCACTGGTAGCAGCTGCTCCCTCTTAAAGGGTAAATGTATTCTTGGTATTTCCAGTGGGCCCTGCCCAGCTCCCCGTCGCAGTGGGAGCTCACAGTGGCTACCTTGTCCCAGAGGTCAGACAGCTGCCCCAGAGGAGCTGGCAGCCATTCCCTGTAGTAGGCTGCACTGCCTGTTCCTCACCTAGCCACCACCACACTCTTCTCCCTCTTCAGGGTCAAGCAATGTAAAGATTACTACGAGATCCTGGGGGTGAGCAGAGGAGCCTCAGATGAGGACCTGAAGAAGGCTTACCGCAAATTGGCCCTCAAATTCCACCCCGACAAGAACCATGCTCCAGGTGCCACTGAAGCTTTCAAAGGTAAGCCAGCCCTGCTATTTCCATTTCCTGTCATTGTGAGCATTAAGGGGTCGAGATGGCTTTCCTAGAAAGTAAGGGGCAGAAGGACGTGGTCTCAGGCCCAAGTTCCAGAGCTTCAGAAACAGCTTCCTGGGCTTCCTTAGAGGCCACCTCTCGCCACAGAGAGTCTTTCAGAGCTCAGACAGCACCACTCCTGCCTCCCTTTCCTCCTTCTTCCCTGGGGTTGCAGGAGGGGTGTTGAGGCAAGAAAGTTCTCGTGGCTTCTCCGCAGTCACATAGTGACCGAGTGGCTCACTTGTGTGTACTTTCCCATCTTGGCATTTTGTAGCTTCCCATCAGAGTAACATTTCCCTGCTGAGAGGTAGGATGTCCCCAGGTCTCTGGCTTGGTGGCCTCCTTAGTACCAGTACCTACAGCAGTCACCCCCCACATAGCTTTTCTGGCCTATGGCTCTTTGTTCTGGGATGGGTACTTCCTTTCTGGCTGAAATCACAAGCTGCTCTTTGTTTATTCTCATTATTATTGAGCCTGTCAGGCTCGAATGCACGCTAACCCCCTGTGGGCACCGCGTACTAGGTACTTCAAGTTCTCATTCCTTAGTCTCTTCTCTCATTCCCACTTTGTCCACCTCCTTGGGAAATGGCACGGTGCCTAGCCCCACCAGACCTGGGCAGGCTGTGCAGCACTGGACCTGTGACCATAACCGGGGAGAGGCCTTGGCAGAGCAGACCCCAGCCCTGGTGTGGTCTTCCCAGAGACCTGCCCTAGAGGGAGCAGGGAGGCCAGGGAGCCCTGTGTTAAAGTTTCTCCAGCCCTGACTGCTGCCTGCAACCTGCCCCGACTAGTACTGAGATGCTAATGTGGGCCCTGTCAAAGGAGAAGGGTATTCTGCCCTCCTTGTACCCAGGAGCTGCAGACTGTGAAACAGATACAGCTTTCACCCTCTGCTTGGCCAGTTGGCAGATTAAGGAGAAGGAATGAGATACTGAGGAAGCCCAGAGCTGTGGTGGCACAGACTTCCTGCCCAGGGAGCTGGGCCCCGCAGAGGGGCGGACTCATCCCGGCCACATCACCAGCAGTGGGGGAGTCTGGACCATAACCCTGGGATTGGCCTTTCCCCGCAGTTCCTGTTGCTTTCCAGTTTACAGCGAGGACATAGTATGTTCATTTGGCTTCTGTGTCATACTGTGCCTTCAAGATTAGTAATCTCAGGTATCCCAAGAGAAAAAAATGAGAAAAGAGGTTTGGAGGTTTTCATAAAATCAGAGAGAAAACTTTAAGTAAAGGCGGGTACCGCCTATACTCCTAGTACTCTAGAAGGCCAAAGCGGGAGGATTACTTGAACTCAGGAGTTTAAGACCAGCCCAAGCAAGAGCAAGACCCCATCTCTACTAACTAGAAAATAGAAAAACTAACCAGGCGTTGTGGGTACCTGTAGTCCCAGCTACTCGGGAGGCTGAGGCAGGAGGATCACTTGAGCCCAGGAGTTTGAGGTTTCTGTGAGCTAGGCTGATACCACAGCATTCCAGCCTAAGCAAGAGTGACATTTCAAAAAAAAAGAAAAGAAAAGAAAACTTGAAGCGAGACCCATCTGGACTTGAGACTTGCCTTGTAAGATCATTGCTATATAAGCTTAGGCAAGTCACTTAGCGTCTGTAAGCCTCCATTTTCTCATTGGTAAAATGGCAACAGGGTTGCTGCTAGATGTAAATGAGATAACGCCCAGAAGAGCCTGCCACTCAGAAGAAGTTCAACCATCATCATGAGTAGTTAGACGAGTAGAGGGAGGGTTTGAGTATGAACCCTCCACCCAGCCCAGGCTACCCAGGTTTGCCTAGGGCTCTTCCTGCACGCCCTCCTCTCCACACTGGCCATGCAACCAAGCTTCTGCTGCCCCCAAAGACTCCAGCTTCCTAAAACACCACTTGAATACCTAAAAAATGTGAGCACTTGCCTGCCAGGAGCCTCCACCCTCTGTTGCAACCTGGGAAATGAGCAGAGCCGCAGCATGTTGGATTGGGAGTTTTCTTAAGTGGGGACTACTTGACTGTCTAGGGTCTGGCAGACAGAGAGAAGGCAGTGAGAAATTTATATACACAGAGTTTTTTGACTAGTGAGAAACATATTGTATTAGCCCTTAGAAAGGCTAACAGGAGCTGCTTTGAGCAGACTATTCAAGGCCTTTTATTAGAGATTTGGGGGGCATGCCTATACAAGGTAAGAAAGTGAGAAGGGATCAGTCTCATGTTTCAATTAAACAGGCAGCTTTGTGTTCAAGGAAGAAAGCTATCAGGCTAAAGGATAGAGGAGCACTAACCTACAGATCATAGAATATTTGGGGTAGGATTGTAATGAGGGAAAGTTATAGCCCAAGGTTAGATAGCTGCAGCTGGAGGGGAGGTATCAGTTGTTTTCTAACTTTATTTATATCCTATCTCTAATCTGCTGATCTTTATTTAGACATTTCCTAGAGTAGTTTCTTATCTATTCTGCTGGACATTCTAACCACCCCGCCGCCACCACCTTAGATATGCATAGCAGCAGAGGGGCTGAGGCTTGGCCATAACCTGCACAAGTCCTCAGAGATGCCAACCTACTCTAGCTTTCACCTGTACCCCACATCCTCAGGCTCAACCTTTCTGCCTCTTTCCCAGCCATTGGCACAGCATATGCGGTACTTAGCAACCCAGAGAAAAGGAAGCAATATGACCAGTTTGGTGACGACAAGAGCCAGGGAGCCCGGCATGGCCATGGGCACGGGGACTTCCACCGTGGCTTTGAGGCTGACATTTCTCCTGAAGACCTCTTCAACATGTTCTTTGGAGGTGGCTTCCCTTCTAGTAAGTCCCCTGTCCTTACAGCCTGGGGTGATGGTGAGGACTGCATACTAGCCTCTCCTTTTCCCAGCAGCCCCAGCTCCTTACTCAGTCCCTCTGACCCCCAGGTAACGTCCATGTCTACAGCAACGGCCGTATGCGCTATACCTACCAGCAAAGGCAGGACCGCAGGGAGAACCAGGGTGACGTGAGTGAGGAAGAGCAGGGGGAGGGCACCAAGGCCACCTCTGGGTACAGGGCCTAGAGGAGGGAGTTACATCCCACACTGTTTATTCTGGTACCAGCAATATCACCATCTTGGCCCCCCTGCCATTCTGCTGAGTGACACCAGAGGGAGCCACACTTCACATTGGCTGCAGGGGTTGGGAATTTGCTGGCCTGTTAGGATCTTAATGCAGAAACTTCTCCACCTGCAGACAGGTTCAGTGTAAATGGCTTTTGTGCAGTCCATTCATTCCTAAAGCCAAAGTGACATTTCCAAGCATCGGAAAATTAAACTTCGTAAGAGAATTATAAAGGTTGACAACTAATTCATCTTGCTTTTGTCACTTTTTTTTTTTT